TAATAATCAAATTGGTGCAGACAGTAAAACGTGTAAAAATTTAAATTAATCCTGTTGGCTAATCAGCTGACTGTTTTGTTTTCCCGTCTTCTTCGTGAAAACTACTGATTTTCGTATTCATTACCATAAAATTGAGTTGTAAGATGCTAAACAAATCTTTGTTCCTAAATATTCACCATTCAAGTCAGCCTATCTATCAGAAACGTATTCGCATCTTTTACGGAGACATTTATTCTCTTTCCACAAATCTGGGTAAAGGTTGATGAATTCGAAATTCTTGATCATACTGTGTATATCCAATCGAAACGCTCTCTTTCATCGGATAAGATGCTTTGGAGTAAATCTGGACTAAATTGTCACCAACGGCCATAGGTTTTCTATATATCACACTCTCAACTAAGATCAATCCTTAGGCTGCTCCAGCATTCAAACGTACCATTACGAAACAGCATCTTTTACGTCATCGGATTTTCGTTCAATTGGGAGATGACATCTTATTCTGTCTAATCCATACCCGGAATATTATTTTAATCATTCTACAATTGACTTTTCATTGCCGTCTTAGCAAATTTATAGAGATATGTCCTAATTTTAGTTCCATTACCAAAATCTTGAGCTTCTGGTCGATAGACGATATGCTAATTGTTTCCAACCAAAAAGCTCGGAAGTAAGCCAAACCAAATACAAATCTTTAACCGTGAAATTTAATAATGTATTCATGAAAGGGAGTATCCAACAAGGAAGTAAGCACTGTACTCGTTAAATGATATAGAATCGGTGTTGACAAGCTACATACGATTGTTTCATGACGAACGTTAAGGATAGAATAATAGAAACTAATGTTTGAAAAGTAGAAGTGTTTTCAAAGCTACCACTATTCGCATTTGCCAAATCTAAAAGGGTATTTTCTTTAGCAATGAACATAACTGGTTGAGGACTTGCAAACACTATTCCAAATCCTCCTTTTGAGGGTTTAACATTACACATGCTTGATTGAAAAACGCATGTGAACAGATCATGCTAAACAACAAGGCTAGTGCCAATTATGATTTACAAGTAATTGATCGCAAGTGTCGGAGACGTGAAGGCAAGTTTCATGTGGTTGAAATATTTGAATACGGCTATCTAAAACTGAGTTTTACACAAAATCCATCCTCCTTTTGGCTGACTATCATTTTTAACAACCATTACCATGCACTTTCGTGCGCCGGTTTTTGGTTGCTGTCTTTTGGTTGCCCATTTGGATAAAAGAGCGAAATGAAGATTGGAATGTCCGACTACAGGATGAATCGAATATAAAGTTAGAACACACGTACAAGAAATTCTCAACCATTGCTTCTCCAAGTTGTAAAACTAACGACGATCACAGCGCGCGAAGAGACAGCACCCAAAACCGGCACACGGAAGTGCACGGTCAGCGGTAGTAAAAACTGAAACCGAAACTCTGCATTTTCTCACAGACTTCCATACAATTTTGAAAAGACTTTCTGTGGCACTGGGTAGTAGTGATTTGAGTGAAAGCAGTATTGGACGCAATATCAGATATTTATTGTTGTTTCGTTCTAACTGACTTCGCGGTTCGGTGATACCACATGCGATTCGTTGTCTATTAGATTAGAAAACGAATTGTTTTCCGATGGAAACTATAGTGTAGCAATGAATAGTAAAAGCATCCCTGACAGGATTCAGTTCAACGCAACGTGCTTCCTCGTGTGTATACAATGCCCAATCAGTACTGGATGCTCGATTGGGTAGCAGATATGGGTATTTTGACGGCGGTCAGAACGCAGTTGAAAATTAATTTGATTTTCCTTGTCTAACACAGTTGTTCGATGACTGCACTATTTCGCATCGATCGTTCCGAAAAACCTAGTGGCCATCCAAGCTTTAAAACTTCGTCCTGAACACAACATTGTGAATCTATATATGTACATATATATATATATACATATATATATATATATGTATATATATACATATATATATATATGCGCATAATCCCGATGTGAAATAATAGATTTCAGCAACACAGCTAAGGTGTGAATTGATTGCAATGCTCAACGGAATTGTCAAACGAACTCAGATCAAATGATCCATGAACGATAGATGCTTCTAACTGCATCGCACGTTCCCATTCACGCATACCTTCGAATCCCTTCTGAATGGAATCTCAATCTGGCATTCCTCAACCCATTTGGTATCCGATCTCAACTTATCAAGTCCCACAACTGTGAACTTCTTTGCAGAACTATCGATCTGCCTGCCACTGCTGTATGCGTTGATCAGTCTGACCAAGTGAACGTGGCTTGTTGACAGTTTGTTGTCGAGGCCTGATCAACCGGGGTCCAGTGATTGACAACTTGATGTTCGCCTGCGCGCGGGTGCGCTCCGCACATCTGTTCACTTAACCAGTCCAGCACAACCCTCTCGATTCACATACTGACTGGCTGGCTGGCTGGCTGGATGTTTTCAATTTGCCGTTCGCACATACACCGTGTCGTCATGACTTGGATTGTGGTGAGCACGATTTCAATCATTCGATGGAAAAAATGCAAATCAGATGTACTTTTATCGAACACACCGATTCTCACCGATCCAATTACCAGTTACCCACAACAGATCGATGAAAATTTCCACTAACCAGTTTATCTGAGGGTCAATTTTGAGTGGATTTCAATCGTCCGGTAACTTTACGATGCTTTAACCTTTCTTGACACTTGAGTGGGATGGGGTACGGTGGGAATTCCCCAGGCAGTAAAAGGAAATGAAATTCGATTGCGGTTAACAGGTAGTCACCTGTGTCTCCCTTCGTTGCTGTCGGGTCAAAATGAACTGACTGTGTCTGAAGGTGACACCCGAATAAACATGAATGGGCAATTTGGTTCAGCCCTGACATGAGTTGGTTGGTACAGTGGTATCACACACGCCTCCTGTATAACGGGTGCGGTGTTCAAATCCCAGACTGGAAGGTGACTATGCACTAATGTCAACCTCTAATCAGAGCGAAACTCGAACACCGCTTACAAGTAAATGTGAGTTAAATGAAAATTAAATCCACTGTTGTACTGGGATCCCTTGCAGATCGGTAATCGCAATCACGCATTGTCATCAGCTGCCGTAATTTCCCGCTACCGAGATGCACGGAGAAGGTCAAGAATGTAGCTTTGTTGGGTTATTTGAAGAGATCAACTGGATTATATGATATGCACACGAAAAGATCACCGAACAAGCACGTGTATGAACCAACCGGCATACCTGTTCCTAGAATGTTGCTGCTCCTAAATGAGCTACGGCAAATTGGATTGTTCCAAAATGTTGGATCCTGACAGTTGATTATGAAATCCTATCTCGTGACGCTCTATCTGAGGTTATTTAGGAGCTTTGAATCACCACAACTCTTCCACCTCCAATATACTTCGTTGAGTGAACCTGCTTTTCTTTTAAAGAATATTGGGACCTTCCACCGACGCTAGCTTTCAATACCTTCGCTGGCTCGGTAAAGACAAAATTAAGATGAACTTCGATAAAACAACGCATATTCTGAATGCACGTGATTGGTCCTAAGTGAGCTGTCGCTCTCTTAGACCGGTGTTCCCACAAAGGTAGATACAAGCTGAAACTCAATTTGATCGAAGGAGAAGAAATGCGTGGTACAGAACTCAGCAAGAGGAGTTGAGCCGATGCGGTTTATTGAGCTCACCGAAAGCTCGGCAATGGGAAAAAAGATAAAGGTGAACTTCAGAAGATGTAAGGTTTTTATTCCCATTAGGGAAGTTTCCCTTTAACAGCAGTGCCACCACTGTCTTTCTATATGTAATCACTCTGACATTAGACTTGATAATGATTGACTAGAAAGTATTCTCATCCCTAAGAGTAAGGTCAACTTTGTCTCAGTTATGAGAAGAACTTGGTGTACGTAACAAGTCAAGTTGTGTGAATGAATGTCTAAAGTTTGTTTGTTTTGATAAATCTGTGATAATATTTTCAAACCATAGTCCATCAATTTACAGGTGCGGTTGATTGGTGAACCGGTTCTTCCAATAGTAGCACTACTGTTTGGTCAACTTAGCAATATCCACGATTTGAGATTCACGTCCCTCTATGTTCTCATATTCTAATCCGGTGGACAAAAAAAGGCGATGAACAACAGGCTTGAGTGATATTCATGCCTGAAAGGGGCTGGAATTCTGCTGATTGAATGCGCAAAGTTGATGATTGCGTCACTGAGCTACGGTCAAGCTGCCTTTTTGAAAATTACCTGTACTGTGTTCCTAGACAAATTAATGATTTATAGATCTATAAAGCTCACGTATCGTTTCCTATGGAGTAACTAGAACAAACTACTTATCGGTTTCTATCTCAAAGTCAATAAATTGAACATATCCACGTGGGTGTGACTTCACGTGGCAGAGGTGTTTCCAAATCAAATAGAGAGAACGAAAAACCAACATCCATAACTATAAACCGGTTTGGTGAACCCCTTGGAGGAGTTTTCTGAAAACCCTGATATCAAACTAACCAATCGGAGGCGCACGAGCCAATCATACACCATCCTGGTTGTGGCAGTGGTCACCGGCCTGTGTGAGCATCGAGGTATCTTGTTCACCTTGGAAGTTTGACGTATCGTACGATGAACTGAAAACCGGCCCCAAAGGGAATGCAGTTTTCATAGAGCACCCTGCTGTCTTGCTGGTCAGGCTTTCCGTAGTCATAGGTCCCGGTTCTGAATCCCCAATAAAATTCACCTGCTTTGACCAGGGCAACCTGATAATATTCGGCACACTAGCAAGCCATGGACCGATTTCTTTGATATAACGACTAGTGTACCGTGAATTGTTTCACACAGTCTGGAGGAAAGCGTATAATATATATGTATGTTTACAGCGATACAACCCTGCAGATATAAAGTACACTGTAGGGCTAGATAATTGCTGCGTATGGGTATTCAGACATTGGATTTCAGTAGCACGCATGACAGTTTCATTCTCCTGGGTCGTTACCTTTTCAACTCTGTGATTTCCGCGGAACGAACCATTGTGGGGTTGACCGACAATTATCATTTTGTATCGCATAAAGATACCACATTCTATTCAGAGGTAATGAGCCACAAAGAAAAAGTTGTAATTATGCGACTGATTGTTTACATATCATTTCGATTTTTTATTAGGTCAGTTCGACTATCAGATTCAGTTTAAATGTACAAAACCCCTCATCTTGCACTTCCGCGTACGGGTTTTCACTGCTGTCTTTCGCCTGTCAGTAGCATGAAAACCCAGTCTACGTTTGCTACTTTTTATTTGGTTAAGTGAATTCACTTATCCTTGCGAACTTCGTATGTGATGTTTGCGGATAGGGATGATCGATCGATCGATCGATCGATCGATCTAGGTGTGTTATAAAAACACCATTCGTGGGTGACAGCAAGCGAGCGAGAGAGAGATCACAGCCCTACGTTTGTCGAAAATTTCCATTGCTTGATAAATGTTGTCACCTTTTGACCTAGCATTGCCTAAACGACAAAAGGTCATTCCAGTTTGGATACCAGCAACTGATTGCTCTATTGAGTTCCAACCATCAGGTTTTTTGAAGTGCACTCTCCGGGCCGTAATCCGACTACAAAAGTTGAGTTTTTCAAGCACTCGAACCATCATTTTAGACTGTTAATGACCTATTCACGATAGTGAAGAACAATGGAATTACAAAACATTCTGTCTTTGGAAAGAAGCGGTTGTGGTCAAACCACCGTAGTGCGAATACTTAGCTCCGGATTGACATTGGGCTTGTGGTCTGTACTTTTCCCAATGCAAACAGTTCTCTTCGCTGAAGAAAAGTCCCACTGGAAAGAATGCTTTCTATCGCCTGTTTGAATGGAATCCAAGATGGAGAAACTAACTTGGAATGTATGACAAATGTTTATCATTCCAATTTACAGGAATTGACATGAGTGCTCTTTTTCCAAGCATATGCTTTAGGCATTCCGAAAAGTGAATACTCAGCAGAACTAGCTAGGATTTCCCTCAGCCGTCGATGTTACTAATTTGACTTCTGATTAACAACCACGTATGACAAGTAAACTGATCTTAGACCTGTGAGAGACTGTATTCACCCCACTTTTGATCTACGAAACGTTTCTGGATAACAAATGAAAGTGCTGCGAAATGGTCATTTTACTTTTCATAGATCTGAAAAATGCTTCTGATGTACTCGGTCACAGAGTTCACCAGATCTTATTCTTTATGAAGAACGGATCCTTTAGATATTACCCAATTTCAACAAGAGAAGTTCGTTTGATTTCATCCCGGAAAAACAGTATTTCAGAACAACCTCTTTAATTTAGATGGTCAATGTTTGAATTAGCCCATTTGGGCTAATTCCCGACCCGAATGTTCGCGGTTCTAGTCCTGACAGGGATACAAAAAGTACGCACTGTTGACGAGTTCCAAACAGAACGAAACAGCTGTCCAGTGCTCTTTGTCGGTTATCATAAACATTTCCATCGCATTCAAACCTCTTTAATTATTTTGCCTTCTCAATAAGTTCTTTATTCACCCATTCAGGTGTTCATTATGTGCGGTGATAGGTGAAGCGCCTATCCATTCAACGGTAACTTATGCCAAACTCAGACACTGTGTTGCCCATCACAACTTTCTTATCTGATGTGATCTGACAGTTAAAACCTTCTACAATGAACCACATACCCATGTGTGTAAATACCTACCAGATGAACCCTCGAGGGTCCCAGAGGCAGAGTAATTAAGATTAACTTAAATTTTCTGACTCTTCAATAACCAACAGTATATGACACAAATATTCACTAATTTCGAGAACAAATGCTGTACCGGAACCCATCAGTCCGGTATAAGTTGACCATTCGGAATTAATCATATGTGGCTGATATAACTACAGAGTGGAAGTCAGCATTGTGCGATATCTTTGGGGACAGGAACAGTCCGTATTACAAGAAGGATTTTGTTTAGGCTGTACTGAAATGATACCGAAGTGTTAGAACACAGAGTGATCAATGCGTCATAATCCTTTCTTCCCAACCCCAACCGCTCATACCTGTTCTCGTAGGTCGTTAAACCATTTTTGGTGAGAACAAGAAATCAGATCCAAATGTTAGTTGAGGTGAGGACAACTTCTTTTTATTCATTTTTAATTCAATTTCAGTTTTCACGACTATAAAACTTACACTTTTTTGCTTCGCTTTTTTCTTTTAATTTTACTTCCTTCGTATTATTATATAATGATACAATTTTCAGGTAGGGGAAAGCGGTCAATCAAAGGACTGTCAAGCAATACAGGATGGAGAAATTTAGGCGATAGTGGTGGGATTCGAACACACGTTCTCCGAGGCGGTAACTTGGTAACACCACCACCGCTCGTCCTTCGTGTACCAATTGGATCAAGTAAGCGGCAAAGGTCAACAGCTGAGAATGGTACCAAGATGAGGATGCTAAATGCGGGTAGACAAGAGTTGTGTAAGAGGTCGAAAGTGCACAAGCATTTTCGTGGACTACACTCAACCACATCAAACACTGTCTCTAACCGCGGTTTAGGCTGGTCAAAATATCACCAAATGGAAAGCCCAGAGAGACCTATATCACCTGAATACTCCGGTCAGAATTTTAACGCCATCATACGTTAGCACAGTTTCACAATCACCGCCAGTCTCAGAAAACATTGTTCACTTTTGATACTGTCTTCTGTATCAAAATAGTGTCTGTGTCTTTTCATACCGTTTCATCTGCAGTACCTTCATACATGCCCACCTGGCTGGTACATTTCTAATTAAGATTTACCAGTACTATACGTGAAATTGTTCCATGTCCTTGTCTAAGCATACTGAGAATAACCAGTGGATTTACAGCAGTTTCGATGGATAAACAATACTCATGTGGCTAGAAGCTAGGTTTTAGCTGATCAGTGAAATTTTTACACCATCTATTGACCTGCAACACATGTTCTCAATATCAGACCACATCAGGAATGCGAGTCGACTGATCCCTGCCTATCACGTGACTGTGCGCATAGCATCACGGTCCATCACTAGCAAAGAAAAGTCTGCACCGGTGGTGGGACGTGAGCCGTGATGTAAACTGTGAAGACTGCACCTGGTATGTAAAATATCGTCTGCCATTAAACACCATAGAATGTCGTCCTCGAGCAATCGAGTGAGAACTAAAATATGGTGACTCATTACCGATCACTGAACATTCCGAGTATGCACATCTTGTGCCGCGGCTTCGAGGTGTCACTTTGCTAGAATGACTTCTGTGATATCGGTCTATTGAATTGCCTTTGTGGGTTACTTTTGTTGGAGAATATTTATCAATATTGGCATCTAACCCCATTGATCTTCACTTAATTTTTTAATTGTTCCAATGCTTGCTAACCGCGGTTCCTCAATTTTCGTTCATGGTTCCGCCGCAAAACTTTCTGATGCTCATGTCGGACTAACAGAAAGGATTTTTCGGATCCTGGCCATCCTTTGAACAATCAATTAATTAGGTATTTTTCTCCATCGCTCCACATAGGGTCTGGATAGGTTACTCGCGCAACACGAATGATTGTGACAGTTTGGTAAACAACGATGTTGATTGTTGTTTTTGTAGCTCGGGTGGTATAATATGATGTTCAATTGTTCGCCGAGCTTGGCAATTGTATTGCAAATGATGATTGTGTTGAAAATGAGTTACAATCAAAATTGAGGACAATGATATTCCGCTTCAGCTGGGAGTTTTGATAGAATCCAGATTGATGGTGTCGGATCAAAACAGTACCGCAAAAATGAGCCAAAAACAGCGGTTCTCGAGTTTTTCCGTAAACGTCACAAATGGAAGTGAAAAAGAAGCAACTGTCACCAATGAGTGTACAACTGGTCAACAAAAATTTACTAAAGGATCTAATAGGTCATTATTTGGTGCACAGACAGTACGCAATTATTAATGACGGCACAGCATAAAAGAACTGTCACCGCAATGATTTCCATTGTTTTTATTTGAGCTAATCAAGCTGTACAAATGACCGTGTATTATCTGCTGAAATCCTACCATCGCCCTTGTCGAAATTCCCCGACTCCTCATTTGCTCATCAATTACTATTTAATTGTTTCCAAGAATTCAATTTCAAACTGTGAATAAAGTTAATTGCCACAAGGAAACTAATGTATACATCTAACCATAACCAAAATTGAAAATCTGGCTTCACTTTCCCTTCAGCCTTTTAATTCTGTCATCTACCAAATGACTGATAATCCAAGAAGCTTTTCAAATGTCCCTCGAAATAACTATTGACTCTGGTGCACAGCCAACACACGCCTGACGGATTTGCCCATCTTCCGTTACCTTGTTCAAGGCTCGCAGCACCATTCCTCCGAAGGTCGATTATGGTGCCACGTATGACTCTGTTGAATGCCTGTCCATCTTCAATCTGCGGAAGGACTGGGCGAAACCGAGAGCAGCAAACATAGCGAGCTAGAGGAGGCGGTGTCCATGTGTAATGTTCGCAATATTTTTTCTGTCTAGAGATACCGAACCGTAAGAACTAGGCGTATACGAAGTGATCAAAGGATTTGACGGCACACTGATTCACATCCAGCAGTGTTGTGCGGAACGATAGGTTGAATCCCTTAAGCCAAGATTCAGCTGCTCTCTGTGATTGCTCTTGCCCCGTGTGTGCAAGTGCTAGCAGTTGACCTTAATTCTTGGTCTGGAAGGGCACTGACGCGAAAGATTTATTGTTCGAAAAGTCTCTGAGGACACCTATTCCTCCTTCCAAAAATTTGTCATGCAGCACTCATCAGATTCACAAGAGAAACTGACTTCACTTTAATGAATATTGCATATTCGCTCCCAAGCGATCCACGTCGTTTTTACGGCCAGTCTTAATGAATGGTGAAAAGAACCACATTTAAAGAAATACAACATCCATTATCTGTAAGTAGTAACATATAATCCTTTGGCTTACTACTGATCCTAAGTCCTAATTTTAATTGTTTTCATTCTTCTACAAGGCTTTGTTCTAAAGATTATA